ATATTGCTGTAAAGCTTGTGGGGACGCAGCTCAACTTTTTTAATCTTTTTTTTTTTTTTGCTTTAATCTGTTTGTCATTATTACATGTTAATTATATGATTGTATCATCAACTAAGGTGTGGCTACATTACTATATACTGGGAAAGAAATTTGAGAAAGAAAAGAAAATGAAATTTCAGTTGCTATGTTAAATTGTATATATAGTGTCTTTTCTTTTCAGATTTTCACATAATTATATCCATAAAATGATATCATTTCATAAAAAAAAAGGGTAAAAGCCGATAATCACGATGCTTGATGTATTACACTAGATATAATAATATTTTTATTTATATATAGTTTTATATTTAAAAAAAAAAACAGGTTAAGATATTAGACCCCAAAAAATTATTGAGATGGACCAAGCTGAGTGAAACGGGGACCCGGCCCGACCCAAAAAGATGCCCTAAACCCTCTCAGTTGTGTTGTGTTGTTCTTGTCTCAAAGCCAGGCGAAGACTGAAAAGAGCATCATCAACCAAAGCCCAAGTGCTCCAGTTCCACAGCAGAACAAATATTCGCAAATTCGGGAAAAAGAAGTGAAAACTCAAAACCAATGGCTGATAGGGCAGTTTCAGAAGAAGCCTCCATGGCCGGCCACGCTACGAAGCTTGCCTCCATTCCTGCCAGCGACAACACTGTCTGGGCCGACGCTTCGCCTCTCCTTGAAGCCGCCTGTAGAGGTTCAATCTCTCCCCACATATCTCTCGTTGTCCCCCCTCCTCCTTAAACCTCTTTTTGGTTGCTGAGAAAAAAAAGAAGAGTAAAAAAGAAAGAGAGGAAAACTTTTATTTTTTCTGTTTTATTTTTATGTTTGTTCCTTTTTAGTAAGCTTTTTAATTGGAGATCTAACAGTGAATTGCTAAACACTGGGGTTTATTTATATTCGTAAAAAAATTATTATTATTTTAAGTTTCTTTAGTAAGTGAAGGGTAGAAAGTTATTGTTTTGGTAGGAGAGCATAGGTAGGTAAAAGAGAAGGTATTGGCATTATGAGATTTAAGGCTTTCTCCTTGAAGAATATATTCATATTTTGCGTGATCACATAAAGCAATAAAATTATTAATAAGCGAACTTTGTATTTTCAAAGTTTTTTTTCAAGTAAATCTGCTATTATTGCTGTTGTCAAGCTATGCAAAATGTGGAGTGCAAATGTGGGTGTTTTCAAATGATAACTCCCTTATTGTTTTAATTTTATTTTCTGGGTTTGGCATTACCACTTAGCTCTTCAGCAATGTTTGGTGATCACAGGTCTTAGAGATGGAGAGCTTATTCACGGGGATAATTTCAATCTTTTTGCTGCCATGTCTGCTTTAGAGGTATTGCTACATCTTGATTATTGATCAATCTTAATGTGATTTCTTTTCTAATTTTGTTAGTGGATTGGAATTTTCCATTTTCTTACTAAAGATGATACTTTGTGATCTTTTGTTGCCATTTTTGCTTTGACAACTTAATGTACCTTGTGGGAATACATGCTATTAGCGTATTTCCACATGAGGGTGTGTTGCACTGGTCTTATACATGCTTGAATTTATTCTCAAACCTCAAGTGATATCGTTACTTCCATAAATCTGACATAAGCAAGAAGTACTCTTATTTAATACATTTTTTATTGACATTCTTTTTCTTGCTTAGTTGTGCTAAGCTTTTCCAGATTTATGTTTCCTATCTATTTTTTCTATTGAAAATATATTCTCTTTTGGCCTTTATTGACAACTTTTGTTTATTGTTATTAGATAATGGATCCAAAGATGGATTCAGGTATTGTTTGTAGATACTATTCTATTGAAGAGGCCATTGAAAATGGTGCTGCTCCAATTCCTATTAGCCTTGAGAGCACTATTGATGTCCAATGCACTATTGATATTATGGACCATCTTCTAGCTTGTGAGGTATTAACTTCTTCATTCTCTGTTCAATTTGTTGTTGCACCATATGGCACATATATGGCTGTTTCGGTTAGTCTTGGGTTTATCTCACACATGTCAAAATGCGCTACATGCTTCCAAAAAAAGCACGATGCACATGGAATGAGATTTTTTCCTCATTTATGTGTGTTCAAGGCCTCTCTGGAAAGGAAGATAATAGATGAAAAGTTATCTGCTTCACTGAATAATGATTTCATACTTTCACTTGTTCTGTCGGTATACGTGTCTCTCTCTATGCTAGATAGTCCCCTATATGTTCTGTTTCTCTTCTTTTATCTAAATTTTAATCTTTCATGGCAGGCAGCATGGCATAAGGGTCATTCCTTGGCGCAAACTGTCTTTTCATGCATCTATCTTTTGAGGCTTGATAGGACAGCTTCACATGCCTTACTGCATTCTTATTGCAGAGTTATACGCACAACCTGCAAGGCAGTTGTGTCAGTTGTTTCAGATGCACGTACACATGAAGTAAAGTATTCCAACAACTCTTTTTGCCTCTTTTCATTTGAGAGGAAAAAAGTCATAGGTTTCAGTTTTTCACAATATTCTTAAGCACAATTATTATGGATGACATTATTCATAATCTGTTTTTTAAGGTTAAGATTTAAAAGTATTTTGAAGTTTGCCTCTGGTTCTGATATTGAAGGTATCAGCTATATACAAAAAAAAAAAACAAAATAATTGGTCCTTGTAAAAAAAAAAAAGAATTTTAGGTTGTGTAGGAAATGGTGGGGCTGGGGAGATGAGAATTTTTCAGTGTAGTTCTTGTGTGATTGGTCTCCATTTCAAAATATTATCTCATATTTTAGTGGCAGAAGAGCTTGTATTACATTTACAGTCATTCTTCATTGGTTATAGTTCTTGATATTGTGATTAAAACTACAAGGTCAGTTTTGAGCACATTCTTTCATTTGGCAGGAGGAGGATCTTTTTACAATGACATATGGTCTTCCTTTGAATGGGGATGGTGATGAGAAGTGCTTGTCAATGTTGAATGCTGTTGAAGAGACAATATCCCGCCAGTTGCGTGCGTGTAAAGCTACATCATCAAAAAGAAGGGTATCAGAGGGTATTTAACTTGTCACTTGCCTAAGCTTTTCGTTATTTCTTTACTGAGGGATGCCTCATATCTGGAAAGGTTTTATAGCTTACATTGTAAATAATCATCACCTTAGTCCTAATTTGCATCAGGCACCATGCTCTCTTGTACTTTTGACTCTTTCTTGCAATTGGTATGCATCTGCTTAGAGGCAGCATGATTCTTTCTTAGATAAGATAGCTAGATGTGAATTATTGCAATGAAATCTTCATAATTTAGGGCGCAAATTGATAGTCTAAAGCTTTTGGGTCAAATCTCATAACTGCAACTGCTTTTATGTTTGGTCTCTGGTGAGACAAATTTACCTGTCATTTACCAGTTTACTAATGTAGGTCTCATATTCTATTGAGGGGAACTGATGAAAAGATTCACAACAAAAATAGTATAATATGTTGCAGGTTAAGATGTCCTCTTAAAGGTAGGTTGTGTAATCCAAAGACTGAACTGGACTTGAGCTTTTTTCTTCTGGATTCAAAATAGAAAGATTTATTCATTACCTAGTCATTCCAGAATTTATGGGCTACTTTAACAGAAGAAAAAAGGAATTGCCTTTTAACTGGTTCTTCTCAATTGTGCAATTCACTTGTTTCTGACCTTCATTGACTTTCAACTTCTATTATCAATTATTTCCTAAGTATCATTCAAATTACTCGTTTTGATTTTTTATTAAGTTGCTATATGGGTGCAGATTTAGAGCCATTACAGTCCAATACCAATCTGGAAGAAGGACTCTGCAAAGCTTTGTTATGTCGCTTACGTTTTCGTAAGGTCTTAAGCTGTGTTACTCTTTTATAATTTCTGTCAATAAGAGGACATCTGTCTGTCCATAGTTTGTTTAGAAGATTTTTAGGACTTCAGCATATTTCTCTAATGGATCTCTTTTCCAGTAACCTTTTGTTTGCTTGACAGTCAAAGCTTTAGTTTGTTTATTGCATATGATCTGCAAATTTCGGCATATTATGTTTCTTTTTCCTAATTTGAAGATAACAATTATTAGTATGCGACAGTATATTAAGGAATATGTTATTTACATTGTTTTTCAAATATAGATTGTTTTCAATCTACTTGGTGTTTTCTTCTGGCAACTATTATTTACTCTGTGGCATTCTTTTCTATCTTACCCTTTCTGAAAAACATATTCATGTCTGGACTCTAATTTCTTCTTGCTTTCTTTTGCTTTCAGCATTTTTTCCATGTTCTTACATGTATGAAGCGACCCCAGGGGAGAGGTTTGGAGTTGGCAAGAAAACATATAGCTTCTTGCATATTGGAGCTAGAATCCATTCTTAAATCAGCAGAGTTTCTAAGATTTTGTTCTGATGAATTTTGTGAAGATGATATTGAAGACAAAACCACTGCTTCTGGTCGTGAACCAATTGGGTTTGATGCTACATTAAACAGTAGATTATCTGCCCCCACACCACCACGTGCAATTAAAATTCTTAGTTGGAAAAAGGTTAGAATTTGTGTTACTTAATTTTGATGTGCTTGAATTTACTTTCCTTATCATAATATTTTCTTTCTTTTGGTGGTTTGGCAGGCTGTTGAATATTTTGTAAAACTTCTTCATGATCTAGATGTTATGTGCTCTTACTCATTGGATCCTCATTTAGAAAGTCTTCTGCGCTTTGTGGTTCAGTTCCAGAAGTCTCAACCTGATTTGGTTGCTAGAGCTCATCTGCAGGTCAGACGTGCTCATCTTCTTTCTTTTTGTGATTGGACAACTGTCATTGTCTTTTTTAGTCTATTCATTATTGAACCCTTTGTTTGGACAGTTAGGCGTCCATTTTATTGGGAGAAGTTTCATTCAATCTTTTCTTCAGCTGTCTTAATGAACTTATTTAGTACTAACGAAACAGACTGAAAAGAAAGATATGTTCTTCAGGGCAAGCAGTATTATTTATCCCTTAAGTTCCCTTGGTCAAATATGCATATCAACATTCTGATGTAGATATGATGCTTCTTGTTTGTGGAGTTAGTTACCTTCTTGGTGTCTCAATATTTCCCTTTTTCCTTCATGTAATGAGGATGTCTCTGTAAATATCTTAACGTAAGGTATCTCTTGTCCAAACATGGCAAGTTCCAGTCATAATGCATTGTCTCTGCACTTGAGAGGAGGTAGATAGCTGAACAAAGAATATGACATAAGTACAGCGAATGAAGACATTAATTTAACTATTATACTGCATTGTCTTATTCCCCACCTTTTGAAGAATACTGTGCAATAGATGTTTTACTACACCGTACAAATTGATATCCTGTAGTAGATTACTGGTGAGCAGTTGAAAATTGAGAATTTACAGTTTGGAATTTAATGTTGTTGGTCTAATCTCGTTTCTTTCTCAATTCAAGTTACTTGTTTTTTAACATGATATTTTTAAGATGCTTAACCTTGTGAATATTGTTCTGAACAGCTTCTACTGGTTCAAGATGGCAAACTCTACGGACGTGATCCAATCTTTGCAGTGATAACTAAAGCTGCTGCATTGCCTGAAGCCACCAAAAACCATGATATTCAGAAGAATGAATATATTGTGCAACTAGGGCAGGTAATGACAATTATAATTTATGCTATACATTTCACTGTTGTTTTCTGGTGCATTTTTATATAATGTTCTCAATCAATTGAAATCTTTTTTAGATGGTATATACATATGTGTATCTCTCGTTTTTGGAGTTAAGTTAGAACGAAGAACCATCAGGATATTGTCTTGATTACAATGCTTAGTTTGTTAAAATATGAGAATATTCTACCAAACTTTGGAAATGTGGTTCTAGTTATCTCAACCTGGATTAATTATCATGCCAGATAAGATTCTTTTTGTGTGCTGCAGTAAAGCCTTAATAACAGCATTTAGCATTCTTCTGCTCTTCCTCAAGGTGCTTTCATCTAATATATGTACAATGCTATTATTTGTTGCAGTTGGTAGTGAATTTGCTCAAAATACTTTGTACAAATGTTGCCTGGCAAAGGCGTAAGCTCGGGAAAATTTTACAAGATTGGCGTGTTATTTATGTACAGGTTTGTACCATGTCTGAGTTCCAAATGCAAATCATTGCATCGTTTCTCTGTCTTCTCTAACTCATCTGATCTTCCTTGGTACAATTTTGCCCATCTGTTTGAGTCTGTTTTAAATTTTCTTGAACCTAATTTCCTTTGCTATTTGTATTTCTTGTGACATAATGGATGACTAAGTAGTTCTGAATGTTATGTTTGCTCGAGTTTTTGCTTTCTTATTGTTGAATATTTTTAAAATTAGTGAATGCATCTTCAAAGCACTCCCTTGCCTTCTCTTCCACTCAGGAAATGAGAAAACAGGAAAGCAGGAAATTCTTTTTCTTCTGTGGTATCTTACCCTGTCCTATGCTTGCACACGTTGACAACTTATTGAGTCAATCTAGCTGTTTTGTTGAATTGCTGGGTCACATGGCTCAATTGCTTCTAAACTGGACTCCCGATATTTTGTTCTATCTTTATTTAACAGCTAGAGCTTGCTTTTAGAAACGAGTTTGGAGAAGTCTCAAGCAGTTCAAATGCGGAGGTGTGTTGCTCTTTCTCTTCTTCTTCTTCTTCTTCTTTTTTTATTCTTGTGGTTTACTTGCCACTTTTGTGCGAAGTCCTCTTTCTGCTCATTAATCTTGTAAACTTTGAAAGACCTGTGCTGGAGACAATCTCTAAAAGTTTATAGTTATGTGTGAAAATTGTCTACAAGTGTTGGCCCGCGTTGTCTCACAGATTTGGTATATGACTTCTGATGCAATACTTGTTTTAATAAAATTGGGACCTCCAGGGTAACACTGCATAAACTTTACAACCAATAGGAACATGACATAAATCTTGTAAGTTTCACTAAATTCATTACATTGTACCATGTTGCCATTGGATTATTTAGTGCGACACTTTTCATCAATTTCCTTTTGTCACCTCCTCAAGTTTCTATTTTCCACCTAGTATCAAAAGTTAAATTCTTTTTCTGTTTGATGCTTGACAAGAATTTCCTTGGGTTTGCAGAATATATGTATGAAAATATTCCAACATATCCTCATTTGGGTGGAAGAGCAAACATACTGGATAGCTTGTCGATTTCTCATACTGGGTTTTGAATTGGATCTCTATTCTGCAAGTGAATACTGCATGGTATATTGGTATTTGTATGCTGTCTTGATCAAGCTTGCAGAGAAAACTCATCTTAAGACGGCTTTTAGCTATGACACTGGTAACTATTCCTTGGTACTCTTTTTGTGTTATGAGATTGTCTATAAGGTCCATGTAGATTTGTTCAATTTTCTCACGCTAAGGTACAAGTCTCATAAAACCACATACCTCCCCCACCCCACCC